CGCACCAGTCGGAAAAATCCTTACCAGCCCGAACAACCTGCTGGCGACCGCGAAGATAAGAGGAAAACCAGTTCAGTACTGACGAGGAGAAGTTTAGGCGTGAAAGTAATCCAAGGAGTAAGTCGTGATCGACACAATTAAATGCGTTTGAAAAGTCAATAAGGACCAGAACAGTCAAACATGACCTCTCCATGCCCTCTCTAAAAATCTTCTGTAACTTGAAGTAACGCTGTGGTGGTACTATGTCCCGGGCGGAAGCCAGATTTATATGTACTAAGGTAGTTGCATTTCGAAATGAAAGAGGTGACTTGTTTGTGTACCAATGATTCAAGGGCTTTGGAAAGAAACGGCAGTATAGAAATAGGTCTAAAATGGGAGGGTAGGGATGGATTGGGTACTTTCTCAAGAGGCAAGATAAAAGCTTTTAGCCATACGTTGGGCAAAATACCAGTAGAGAGGGAGAAATTGATGATGTGAGTGAGAACTGGAGTAATAATATCGAGTATGAGAAGTATCATAGATCTACTCACCTCATCATAGCCGGTTGCGGAAGATTTTATTGAAAATATGGCTTTTCTAGTATCATCGTCAGTCACTACTAAAGAATTACATGATAACAAAGGCATGGAATTAAATTCCTGGAGAGTCGCTTTGGTGGTCAAATGCAGACGTGATGCAGAAGAGAAGTGTATGAAGTGTATGTGTATGTGCAAGTCATTGAGTGAAATATTTGGGATTAGAGAATTGGAATGTGATTTTCCAAATCCCAGGGATTTAAGGAACTTCCATATATCTGCAGAAGAGGAGTTTGAAATACTATTGTGGAAGTAGTGGCGTTTGGCCGTTCTTACCACCTGATTACAGCGGTTTCGTGCTCGCTTATATTTTTGAAAGGTGGAACTGTTCAGATTCTTTTTAAAAATGTGAAAAGCTCGACCTCTTCTTCTCATTGCTCTACGCACTTCGTCAGTTATCCACGGTGCAGGAGGTCGGCGTAACCTGACTGCTCGTGCGTGCCTATCGAACAGGTTGAGAATTTGGGTGTTCAAATGAGCAATTCTGTCTTCAATATTATTTGCATCCAGCAATGAGCCCCATTCTATATTCTTAGCATCGCGGTGTAGTCGAATGGTGTCAATTTTATTGAAATTGCGTAAATACACAATCACTGGCTTTGGCTTGGGAGGCTTTAATTTATACGACGTGACCAAAAGATCGTGTCGAGAAAACGCGGGAACAGCCAGTTGATCATGATATATAACATGATCCGCTGAACTAGTGCAAATGATGTCTAACCATGAATCTTCGGTGTCCACGTTGTGGTGAGTTGGACCAGATGGTAGAATATAGAGATCTGCCGAGTCCATGATGGCTTTAAGTTTGCGACTCTGAGGAGAATCCTTTAGCAAGTTGGTGTTGAAATCACCCATTATTATAATATGTTTGTTATCAGTGCTGATGGAGTCGATCACCGATTCAATATGGGAAAAATAATCAGTTGAAGGAGGGCAGTAAACAACTCCGAGCACGACCCTCAAACCCTTAATTTTTACTTCTAGAAATAGGTACTCAGCAGATCCTCTATATTCTGATGGTGATATTGCAATGACATCATATGCATATTCCGATCGCAAGTAAATGGCTACGCCACCTCCACCTTTGCCAGTGCGATCAGAACGTATAAGTACAAATCCAGGAAGACTGTACAACGTGGAGGATAGGGAGGGTTTTAGCCAGGATTCTGAGATAAGTAGAGCATGGATGTATGGTGAGGAAAATGTGTCAAGTAGATCTGAGTAATGGGGAGGGATGCTTTGCGCATTTATATGGCATACATTTAAACAATTTGTAGAGGAAAATTTCGTGTGCAAAATGTAATTACCCACGTTATCGATAAAACAATCGTCTGCGGCTGAGGTAATGTTAAGAGAAGAACATGCAGAATAAAATGAGTCTTCATCCGATGACATTTAATCTATTATTATTAATAATAGTAAAAAATAAATATGATAGTAAAAAAGAAATAAAAATGAAATGAAGACATGGCTTAAAAACCAAGAATCCAGGCCAATGTCTTAATAAAAATAATTGTATGATATTGACGTTTGACTATAACATAAATTGCTATGATAAATTGTTTACCTACCTAGTGTATATACTATGTACATACTATGTACTACAACTAATTCTTCAGTAAATAAAACCATAGTAAAGACCGTTTAAATAGAATTGAACTGAGTCACCAATTTTCAACAAATGGCAGCCCATGTATTAGTTATTTGCACTTTTTTTATTTATTCATAACAGTCCGTCAAGTGAACATGGGCTTTCCCCATAGATTGCTTCGTAGGGGATGTTCGTCACAGCTCGGTAGGCAGGTGGAATGGGAACGGTAGTTTTTTTGAGTTATCGGAAAGAGGCTGCTTTCCATTTCAGATACAGATTCCCTCTGTCGCCTATTATAACACCAACTTGATATATTTTTACGTAAATAAATTCAATGTGATAGCATCACACAGTGTTTCAACAGGTAGCAAGGTATTATGAGGAATAAAGTTCGATGTAGCATGCTATACTCTACGTAGTAGAGAGCGAGAGTGAGCGAGAGTGAGCGAGAGTGAGCGAGAGTGAGCGAGAGTGAGCGAGAGTGAGCGAGAGTGAGCGCGCTCTAAAAATATCACTTTAGAATTCTACTGACTACTTCTATGATCCAGTTTGGCACTTATTAAAAAAGTCTAAAATATTGCAATAAAACCTTTGCGAAAGAATATTATTTTACCTTTGTATAGAATAATTATTACTTAGTTATTTTTACTGTTTTTACATATGAACATTTTGATATTTGTAAATAAGTTAAATTCATCAAAAAAATTTTATATCTAATTAGTCAAAATTTGCACGCCTCGATAAGGCAGCATGTATAGGAACTTTTATGTTTTAGTAATACTCTTGTAATATCTACCTACATTCTATGAAAATAAATAATTATGAACAGTTTTGGCTCGCCGCTCACTTAGCAGTCAGCCACCGTAGAGTCTACATCACCTGAGGATGCCTCGTGTAGAGGCGAAACACGTGTCGTATTATCGTCGATGGTGTGTCTTACCTGGAATAGTGGTGTTGGAAATAGCGGTGCCGGGAGTAGTGGTGTTGGGAGTAGTGGTGTTGGGAGTAGTGGTGCTGGGACTAGTGGTGACGGAGTTAGTGCACGCAAATTAACTCTTCAATCCAGGTAAGACACATCATTGTATTTAGTTAGCGGAAGGTTGCAAATTATTTAATATTTTTATTATAAATTATAATGCATTTCCGCAAAGTAACGCCTGATTCTATCAAATAATTATGAATTATGAAATGGTGATAGTTTACTGAAATTCATTATAAAATACAATATCAATTAGCTGAGTTGCTATTTTATAGATAAATTAATATATTTATAAAAATACAGAGAGACTTTCAGGAAAATTCTGCAATAATTGCTTACTTTTCGACCGAGCTATTGACCCTCGCGTGTTTAGGGTCAATAGCTCGGTCGAAAGCTGAAACTTGTCAAAGCATACACTTAGGTAGGTACATTGATATATACGCAGGAGTACAATAAGTCTATGTAGGTACCTGATTTTTTAGTAAACTTTGTCCAGTAAACATAGTTCTATGACAGTAAAATATTACGCATTAACATTTTTTGATTAGTGTTCTGATTAGTTTGTAATTATTTAATATTATAAAGTTATAATATTATTTTTAATAATTTTATTTTGTTTTTATCTAACTTCATCATAGGTATATAGATACATTGTATTGAAATTAAACGCTGATACGATGTTATAACAGATGATATAAGTTCCGTTCATCTTATCCCTACAGATTGTTTTAGTCACTGTTTTATTAACATGATAATGCTAAACTCAATATTTCAATTCGAGGAGAAACAACTACGGTAAATATAAGCTCGTTTCCGCTAAGAATATTATGTAGCCAAGGATTGAGTGAGCTGCGAGGCCGGTTAGAGAGTAGAGAATACTCAGTACTAGTCAGTTTAGGTATGGGTACGTAGTACTATTATTTATTCTATGGCATGAGTAATACCATTCTTACCCTATATCAAATAATGTATATATATTGAAATTAAGTATCTGAATATATTTCAATATCTATGAATCGGTTGATATATCTACGTGATTCTGTAAGTGTAAGGAAGTCAGTATACCGTACTAGTAAACGGTGATAATCGAGTTTTGAGGGATTTCTTTTGCATAAATATATACATTATCGATATATATTATGGCTTGATACAGGCATTGGAATCTCTTTATAGGGGCTCTAGTGCTTGTGCTAGGATCAACGGGGTAACGTGTCAGACAGGGCTGTGTGGCTTCCCCGTGGCTGTTCAACCTATTTATGGACAGTTGTTTGCAAAATTTGAAAGTTGAAGAATGCGGATTAAGAATGGGTGAGTTAACCGTCAAATGCCTTTTGTACGCCGATGATCAAGTTATCCTTGCGTCGTCGGCGGCCGAATTGCAAATGATGGCTACATTAATGAACAGATCATTAAAAGAAAGGAGTATGAAAGTGAACGCAAGTAAGACGAAAGTTATGGTTTTTGAAAGAGAAGAAAGTAGAACGATATGTGAAATAAGAATAGAAGGGGAGTTAATCGAGCAAGTAGATGAGTTTGTATATTTGGGTTGCGTATTTAGTAGGGATGAGAGATATGATAAGGATATAGAACGACGAGTAAACGCAGGAAATAGAGATAAAATCATTTCTGGATATCTGGAAGAATTTTTGTTCCATCATCACATGATTTATCATCGGATATAGGGATCGGCTACTTAATAAATTAAATGATTACAGTTGCAAGTTGTTTTCATGATGGTCACAGGTTATAAATTTGATGTTTGTTTCGGATCGTTAAAAAAATACGATTGTAAATCAATACTTTACCTTTACGCGGGACCAATAACCTAATGAAAAATGTCTATTATAGTACTCACGTGTATCATGCGGTGGATGACAAGCAGATCATCGCGGCGCGCGTCCCGTACGGTCACCGGCGACATGGCTGCGTCCGCTATACTCACAGACTACTAAGAGGAGCTATACTGAGTACTAACGCGTGTTGATCAGAGGTGATTACGCAAGCGCAACTCTATCGTTCCAGAATAGATTACTAAAATCAATAGATAACGAGTTTTTAGTTCCGACGATTCACTATAGATGGAACTGTGGTATTAAGTTATCTCCATGACTAAAATAATTATACAGAGAAGTTATAATTTTGCCATGTGGTGACAGCGGCGAAAGATAATGTGGTACTGTAGGAAATCTTATAGCCGATAGATGGCGCTGTAACCAACGTAAAATAACCAACAGACGATGGGCGGCAGTAACAAAGATACAGGACGACTGGTACCAAAGACTATTGTGACTGACTTATACTGTGATCGTCAAACTGTCTGCCAAACGAGACACCTTCCCTACAACGGCTAGGCTTATATCCAATAGTTAACTTTTACAAACTGAAAATGATCAACAATATTTTTTAGCATTTGGCTGCGACACCGTAGGACGTAGGGCGACGACTTCTCGTCCTTTTAAGAGTGCAGATTTATTTGTATTATAACTAATTCCCACATTTAATAAAAATAAAGAAAAATTAACTATATTTTAAGCACGTTAAAGTCTTTACCTTCGTGGATTTGTACTGTGACCACAACATTCTTCCGGAATGAATATGACTAATTTGATAAATAATCAGTGCATAAAAATGTTTAACTAAAAATTCAGTGTATGTATTATGATTACAACATAATATACTAATTGGGGTGTCTGAGGGTGTGCGTTAATTACGTTACATGTTATATATATATATATATATATATATATATATATATATATATATATATATATATATGTGTGTGTGTGTGTGTGTGTGTGTGTGTATTGTATCAGTATACAGTTTGAAATTTGAATCGCCCACTCATAATCAGTACTCCTAGACGCGTGTTAATCTTTCATTTCTAGTAACCCAAGTATTGATTCATCATACGAACCGTCATTCAGATCGATCTTTCAATTGAGGAATTTCTGGTTTCAGTACTCTGCGATCTATGAGACTCACTCAGTTCTGTCGGTTGTCGATCATTTCTATACTCTTTGTTCAATCGCGACCACAGTTACAAATAAATAATTCATTTTAGCGCTTATACTTATATGTATAATCAATAATCATTGCATAATATTTTGAACTTTATTGTGTGTAAATAACTAATATTTTGAATAATATTTGCTACTTAATAAATTAAATGATTACAGTTGCAAGTTGTTTTCATGATGGTCACAGGTTATAAATTTGATGTTTGTTTCGGATCGTTAAAAAAATACGATTGTAAATCAATACTTTACCTTTACCCGGGACCAATAACCTAATCGTTCACGATTGAAAAATTAATCCTTCCATTTCTGAAATATTAATACTTCCATTTCTGAATGTTTTTCTATATGCTATTCATATATTATGTCAAACTCCTTCACAGTCCAAGAGATAATCCTAGTGTCCTAGTGTAACGTTTATTACATCATAATGAATAAAAAATTAGTTTAAATAGGTAAAAATAAGCGCTACATCGGATTCAAAGGAACTATTAACAAATTAACTGCTGTTGGACTGTAAGTGATTTTTTTTATCATAGGTAATTAGTCATTTTATTTTGCAGTGTAGAACTCACGGAAATGTAAATAATAAGGCATTGCATTGCCTTATTATTTAGATTACTGTGGTAGAACTCTAGTAGAAATAAAATATGTGTTTATTTTAAAATTGTTTTTTGTTTAAAATTTATAGTCAGATGCCGCTTTAATGTTTCAATTTCATTACGATTTCATAAAAAGGGCAACAATAAGACTGTTTGCTTTTTTCTACAAATAATTTTTTAGTGATGAACAATACCTACTAGTTAATCTGCTAACGTTAAACAATTTTTGCTAGAATTAAAAGGATTTTCAATGAGTCTGGAGAGGCTACGGACTGCCTTCTTTCAATGTTTTAAATTAATTTTTGCTTCTACGCAAAACGAGCTTACAATATCTTATAGTCTTGAAGTGGTATGCTCAGATTAAGCTTAATTTTATTACTAGTCTTGATGTACTTTTGCGAGGAATTGTACTTTATTACTGACATAATTTACCACGTGCTCGGCGGTGAAAGAAAACATCGTGAGGAAACCTGCATTTCTGAGGAATAAGAAAAAAAAAATATTTCGAAGACATGTGAAGTTCGTCAACACGCATTTGGGCAGCGCGGCGGACACTTCCTTGCCCTAAACCCTCTCAGAAATGAGGGGAGGCCTGAGCCCAGCAGTGGGACGTATATAGGCTGTAACTTTACTTTACTTTACTTTACTGACATAATGGCGATTTTCTCTCTAAAATAAGTTATCAATCCGAGTTTTTTAATAACTAAATCGGTAATTCTTATATAGGAAATTGTGTTTATGCACAGTAATTACGTAAGCAGGCAGTTACGGAGCAGGCAGGTGCTTAAACTTAAACGTAGGTACATATGTTAAGAGACAATAATCTAAACTGCATAAAGTTGCTATTTGTTTTTGTCAGGCGTTAACATGCGTGGCCCTTTACACTTTATTTTTCTTTGTTTTATTTAAGTTTCTGTTATTTTTTCATTAGATTTACTTTTTTCTGTTACTGAAATGTAAGGTTTTAACCCTAAAAGATATTTTGTTGCAAGAATTTTCTTCCGCTCAGTGCAGTGGTGTAACAAAGGGCAGAGAGAAGAATACGAATACAGCTATAAAACCAGGGAAACAATTATGTGAATAATTACGCCTTGTAAACGTATCCTTATACTGTCCTAATCGTGGGAAAATAAACTATTATTGCAGAAAATATAGAAAATGGATCTTGGATCTTGACTGTATTGTGCCTATCGTACTACACCGTGCTTCAAATATGTACTTAGGTCTATATGCATTTCATATTGCGCTTACTTGGAGCCTGTAATAGCACTAATTGATTATTACAAGCGCATATAGATTTTCTGGTTTTCCTGTTTTAATTAAATAAAGTTAATCTACATAAAACGCTAATCATTGAAATTAGGTCACTACCATCTTTTCTTATATTATATTAAAAACGAATGTACTATGATCATAAATTAGTAAATATTGTTATTTCACAAGATATTATAACGATGATATTGCCTTTACATAAAAAAAAAACTTTAAATTAATTATTCGCCATTTTTGTAAAAAAACCATTTACAAAAAATTGCGAATAATTAATTTAAAGTTTTAACATTTAAAATGAAAGTACTATGATCATAAATTAGTAAATATTGTTATTTCACAAGATATTATAACGATGATATTGCCTTTACATATAAATAAAATCATTACATATAAATAAAACATAGCTTTGATAAAAATACTGATTTCATTTTAAAATGTTACAACTTTAAATTAATTAAGCGCCATCTACACTATACATCTAGAACTAATGCAAATGAATAACCGAAGTTCGTTAACATGATTTTACAAAAAATTGCTAATAATTAAACCAATAGAGGACGCTGTAGAGAGTGCTATATTGTTTTGTGCATTAAATGGGGGTTATCAGTCTTACGCTCACCAGATGTCGTTAGTTGAGGTGATATTTACGTCACGCAGATGCTGTTCTATAATTTTTTGCACATCATAGCAGAAAACTTGTTGATCATTGTTGCATTTCTATATTAATTTTTATATTTTTATAATTAACTCGTAAGCTCGGAAGAGACAAACGAGCACACAGTCCACGTGACGGTAAGTGTTGCTGTGCCCAATAAGACAGACTATCCTAAAATCAAAATGCAGGATCGTTGTCTTCCTTGAGGGCGAAGAGGTAAGAGGGAACATCTCGTTTCCTGTAAAAAAGGTCTCCGGTTCTCTACACTCACCATACGAAACAGTGTTAAGCTGCTATTTTACGCTGGTATCCTGTGAAAGCGTGGTCCTTCCCCAGTCGAACCAAACCATTCGTACAACTAATTTGTTTTGAACATCTTGAGTTATTTTATGTTCACATTATTATTGCTATTTTTTCGCTTATAATCAGACTAGGGTCCTTCTATTTAGATATTTAGGTTTCTTTTTATTTTAATATTTTTATGATAACTTTAGCTTATAATTGGAATGACTGTATTGGCCTATTATTTAGTTATTTAGTTTATGATTATACATATATAATTTAGCTGCTTTTTTAGTACTGATTTTATTATATAAACAATCAACTGGTGTGATTATTTTTCACGATTTATCGATATTTAAGGCATTGTTTTCTGTGTTTCGATTATATTTTTTATTTATTATCAATAAACATATTTATTTTAATCGTATTTTGATATAATATTTGTAATTTATTTATTTTTATATTGTGTATATTATACATCTTCTCTGTCATACAACTTATCATGTCTAACTCGGACTCTTTTAATTCTATTGAGTCAGAGAGTTCTTCTGTATCTTTTGATGATCAGATAAATTATAGTGTTCCCTCTTTAAGTAGCCAATTGAATAGATAGTACATTTCACTCTTGTGATAAAACGTTAAACGTTTGCCATATTAATGCATAGAGCATTCCTGCCATTTCTCTTATCTAGAAGCATCTTTCTCTAATAACAATATTCTTGCTATCTTAGTTTCAGTAACTTGGCTGAAACCGTTTTTAAATTCGGCATTGTGGCCTCTTCCTGGGTTTGTGCTGACTAAGAATTATCACATAGATATAGGAGGTGGAATTGCAATATAGTACAACATGTAACAACATAATTAACGCACTTTGAGAAAGTAGTTTGTTCAGAATCGTTTACTGAATCGATTTGACCTATCATTTTTAATAAAGGTAATTTTTTATAATAAAATAATTAAAACTACGTAAATTACAGCCACACTAAATCTATACAGTCAAAACAAACTGAAATGGACCGTAACTTAAGGCAATAAGACTTTTAAGAGTGCAGTTTTATTTGTATTATTACTAATTCTGTCATTCAATAAAAATAAAGAAAAATGAACTTTATTTCAAGCATGTTAAAGTCTTTGAGTTCGTGGATTTGTACTGTGACCACAACATTCTTCCGGAATTAGTATAACTAATTTAATAAATAATCAGTACATAAAAATGTTTAAATAAAAATTCAGTGTATGTATTATGATTATAACTTAATATACATATAATTATATTTATAATATATATATATATATATATATATATATATAATTGGGGTGTCTGAGGGTGTGCGTTATTTACGTTAGGGGGAATCCAGGAGACTTGCTCAGGGAGGAGACTTGAACCGACTCTGATTTCTTATCTGAATTTTCGCGCTGACAGCCTGATTTCCCACTAATAAGGTGATGGCAGCCAATCACGAGCGTTCAGCCATTTTGTCAAAATTCATACGCGTTGGATCTTGACCGGCATATACCTGTTTATCTCATTCTCAAACAGGTAAATAAAAATAGAAAAACTGTTTTGATCGCTGTTAATCGATTAATGAAGGTAAGTAGGATTTAGTTTTATTATATTATTGCATGATTATCGTATTTGAATGTGTGTACAACGGCATTTTGTTGCAAATTGTGGTATCTGAGTAAAGCAACCTAGAATCCGGAAAGGGGGGGGGTGGTAGATTTGAACCACTTAGTCGGTGGAAGATATGACCATTGGTTCAAGTCTCCCTGCAGTGGCTACAGCTGCGTCTGTTGACTGTTGCTAAGTTAAGTGCTTGTGCTGAGATTCAGGGCGGTGCTTCTATTAGAAAAACAGCCATTAAATATATAGATAGATAGAACGACTCTAAGAAGGTACCATGTTCGCGGTGAAGCGACATTAAATAAAATAGAAGAAAAACGTAGTCAGTACAAACGCTCGTAGATTTTTGACACTAGGGAAGAAAAGCAATTAGTAAACTACCTTTTGGCATGCAGTAAAATGCACTATGGACTGACGAGAAAACAAGCCATGCAATTAGCCTTTGATTATGCTCTAGCAAATAATAAAAAAATACCTCAAAGTTGGACAAATAACAATTTTGCTGGAAAAGATTGGTTCCGAGGTTTCTTAGCTAGAAACCCGGAAATAAGCTTAAGGACGCCTGAAGCCATCAGTTTGTCGCGAGCTACAAGTTTCAACAAAAGAAAAATGTAACAGACTTTTACGAAAACTTGAAGCAAGTGCGAGAAAAGTATAATTTTGAGCCACAAAATATATATAATTGTGATGAAACTGACTGTACTACTGTCCAACAATGCCCCAAAGTATTGGCAAGTAAAAAAAGCCAAGCAAGTAGGACATGCCACCTCTGCTGAAAGAGGTACTCTAGTTACAGTCTGCTTCGCTGTGAACGCCATTGGAAATGCCATGCCTCCTTTTTTCATATTTCCGCGTGTTAAATACCGGCCTGACTTTGTTAATGGGGGATCTGAAGGGTCTGATTCATACATTACGGGTTGGATGACTTTGGCAGTCATTAGAGCTTCCTAAAATTCATGGAACATTTCAAAAAGCATTCCCATGTATCGAAAGATAATCCCGTGTTATTAATTCTTGATAACCACGAAAGCCATGTGAGCATCGAAGTGATAAGTTATGCAAAATCCAACGGCATCACATCGCCCCATTGCAGCAATAAGTTGCAACCTTTGGATATCGCTGTATATTCTTCATTTAAATCGAGATATAATACTGCGTTGAGCAACTGGATGCTTTCAAATCCTGGAAGGACAGTAACGATATACCAAATTCCTGGATTCATCAAAACGATTATCTCGCAAGCATTCAGCCAAGCTAACATTTTAAGCGGATTCAAAAAATCAGGAATACATCTTTATAATGATAATCTATTCAGTGATTAAGATTTCATGTGTCCTGCTGTAACAGATAGGGATATATCCAGGGATAATTATGAACTTCCCAGTAGTTCGTCTCAATGTCGCCAAGCTCAGCTTGTGTTTTCAAGCGCTCAGTAAGATCCACCAGATTTTCCGCAGAGCTTCGACGACGTTGATCAGAAAATTCCGTCAACTAGTCCCGTGCTTGATTTTTAAATCAAACATTATTTAATGTTTCGCTTCTGGATTCAGTGACTATTTCTCTAACAAATAACCAACTAAACCCTCCAGCTCAGAAAAGTCCGCAAACCTCTAACAAAGTCTTAAAAAGTATCATATGTAACTCTCGTATCAATTATTATTATTATTTATTGATTTATTTTATTTTTATTTATTGTTTTATTTTATATAATTTCCGTAACATTGTGTATATTATTTATTTTTTGTAGTACTAATGTATGCACTAAGTTTGCAATTTAAATATAATTTCCTTTATGGGTCTACTGGAAGATATTTCAGCGAATTTGGAATAAGTAGAACCTTTGTACGTAATTACTATAAGACTGCTTCTGTACCTTAATGTGTGTACATAAAATAAATTAAAAAAAAAAAAAAAAAAGCTTTTCACGTGCACCATCAGACTCTGAACCAAATTCACTCTGTTCTAAAGTTTATCCCGAGAGCCTGGTGAATTGTTGCCTCACTAAATTGAATGACACTCTCATGGCTAAATTAAACTGTAATTTAGAAGTTTCTTTTCATCAGTGCCAAGAGACTGATATAAATTATTATTATCCTCCAAATTCACCTACTCTGACACAGAAGCTGGATATTCCGCAAACTCCGGACCATATTACTAAAAAAGTAACTACTTACAAAAAAAAAAAAAAAAAACCCCGGCCCACCAGAAATAATAAGGCCATATCCAAAAGCTGCACCCCGAAAGACAACACGGCGTGCACGACAACCTGGAAAAACAAAAATTTTAACAAAAACTCCTGAAAAAATTACAGTTGATTATTCAAATGAAATTCTTAAGAAAACAACAACTAAGGCCAAAGGTGACAAGTCCTTAAAAACTACAGCTAAGAAGAATATAAAAAGAGGAAAGAAGGTAGACACAAAAAAAGAGGCAAGTTTTACAAGAAAAGAACAATGACACAGATTGTGAAGATGATTTTGAAGCAGATTCTAAGAAAATGAAAGAAAAACTAAAGCAAGGGAAAAATAAAATAAAAATAAACAAAGATACAGGACCAGTAAAACCAAAAAAAGGAAAATAATTAAACAACAGCAACGTTCTCGCACGTTAGCTCGCTCAATTGACAGTGAATCTGAAGAAAATTATGACGACTGTATTCCTTATGCTGATAGCTCTAATGACGGTGACTGGGAAGGGAAAGGAGTACCAGAGTTGGATACTCGTTGGTATTGCTTTATTTGTGGTACTGAAGAACTCTTGGATATGCGTCTTTGTATTTCTTGTAAAAGGTATGTCCACGAGGAATGTGTAGGGCTAACTATTAACGATTCTGAAAACTTCATGTGTCCAGAATGTGATTAATTCAATAAAAATTCTTTAAGGGTGGATATAAGTGCCACAAACAATTTCGACTGACCTTGATCTCTAATTACGATGTTACTTTTATAAGTGCCTTATTATAATTAAGACTGATTATTGATTTCTTTATAATTACAGTTAATTAAGAGTAAGTGACATTCATAAAATGTCAAAACTGTTTTTACGTTTGGTTAATTGATTAAAATAATGTCAAAAACTTTGATATTTAAATTGTTTTCCCACTAACAGAAAGTATGGTTAAATCTCCCCAACCCTATGGTCAAATGTCCCATGGGTTGGGGAGATTTGAACCATTTCTGACTTTTTAAAAAAAAGTTCCATAATTTTTAGTAGATGAAAGTTATTATAACATTTGTACCACCAATCGAAGCCTATTGAATTAAGCAATTCAAGTGTTAAAGACTGAGATATCTACAAGAAATTAATAAGATTTTACTTTTATTTATGTAATTTTTGTAAAAGGGGGTTAAAGTCTCCCGGATTCCCCCTACATATTGTATATATACGCTTCGATTTCTCAGAAAATTATATTAGCATTCCCTTCTTACGCTGATCCCGCTGATTTCCTGTTTATGGAACTAGATGTTAAAGGCTCAAGGATGATTTTTGGAGCAGTGTGTTGTACTCCCTTCACCGATTACTTTGTCAATTTAGAAGTGGCCCTTGATAACATTGGTTTTGAGTAAACTCACTGCGTAATTATGGCGGATTTTAACACAGATTTACTGTAAAATGCAATTCGTTCTCAAAGGCTTTGTACAACCATTGATTTAAACCTCTCAAATATCGGCTTACTGTAATGTTACTACGTAACTACAGAAGAATTAATATGGATAAGCTTATGAAACGCATTACGCATCGTTCATATATTTTACGCCATTACCAACTGAATTCACCATAGATACGAGAGTCACTATATTTAATAACATAATTCAAGCTTTGTATGATAACCCTGTTTGTAAAGTCAAACTTAAACTTCCACCAGCTCCCTGAATGACTGAATAAGTATAGATGGCTTTGACTAGATGAAATCGAAAAGTGGTTGTCAATTAAGACGGTCACAAATAAATGCAATCAGATAGTACGTTCTGCAAAACGCCGATTTATCCATAGCATAATATTTAATTCTTCGCCAGCTGATGTGTGAAAATTCCTTAGTTCTTTAGGTGTGAGCAAAACATCATCTCTGATTTGTGGTTCATCTCTTTCTCACGACGCTTTAAATATTCGTTTTGCTTCGACTTCTGTGTTTGACCTTTTAATCTAATCTCAAACAGCCGCTTAAATAGCATCAATTCCGTCTCTTCACATACCAGTCTTTCTTTATAACGCGGCAAGTCTGGATGAAATTAAAAAGTCTCTTCTGACAATTGAATCCAAAGCTGTCGGTTGCGATGATATTAGTAGTCATGATTGCTAATAAACTAAATTACCTTCACCCCGCAATCACGCACATTGTTAATTTTTCCCTTAATTCAGTTTCCGAGTCAGTGAAAAAAGGTATTTGTAAGACCCTTCCTAAAGTATGCAATCAGTTAATCAGTAACATATGCTTTATCTTTCCTAACTAAAGTTTTGAAAGCCTGCGTTCATAAGCAATTTTCCAATTTCATATGAAGACACCTGCTGCAGCATCACATCTGCCTTACATAAAATACTGAGAATATTAGTTAAGGAATAGAAAATTGGAACAGAATGTGTGTGTGCAATTTGGTGCTCGTTGACTTTTTAAAGCTTTTAACACAGTTGACCACAACATCATTCTTGCTGTCCTTTCCTTTTGAAGTTTGGACCGTCAGTACCGGAGTGGTTCTCTATATAAGTGTAAGTCAACGCTTTTTTCGTCAGTCAGATTTCAGCCACGCTCAAATGATAATATATAAACAAAGTAAAAGTATAAGTAAAAGCTAAAAAAATAATCTTGAAGGGTTAATAATCTATAAAATTCTATTCCGCAATATACATAAAATCATTCCGTGCAGTTTAACGATTTTTTGAATTCCATTGTAGTTATGTAGTACAGAAAGGTTTGGAACTATTTCAATGCCTGACAATGTATAAGTGGGAACCAACGATTTTTTTTTGAATTTTTTTTGATCATAAAACTAACTAATGACGTCAGGATCATAAGTAAATTAAAAATAAAATATAAAAAATGCCAAAGGGTAAAAGATTATTTACACAATTTCGAAGAAGGAAAAAGCATCGCATAAAAATCAAACAAAAGAGGAGCCTTTCTTTCGGTAAATCTAGAAAGAGCACAGCAAACTAAAAGAAGTCAGATTAAAGAACAAAGAACAATGTCTAATGAAAATATGCGGACTAGAAAGAAAGATATTCGACTTCATCAATCAGCTAATCGAAGGGAACAAGAAAGTTAACGTAGTAGAGTAAAAATAGCAACAATACGCCAAAAACGAATTATAAATGAGAGTTTAGAACTTTAAGCGTTTCATTATGATCCCAAGGAAAAGTACGATGAACATCCGAGTATTGTTATCACGAAAATGAATACGGTATGTAAATATTGCAACGCAAATAAATTTAAGGGTGAAATTGCTGGTATGTGCCGTGTGATTGTTAAAATCAAATTACCATCATTACAAATACCATCACCCCAGCTTTTTAGTTATATGACGGAGCGACACCAGAATCAAAACATTTTCTACAATCACATCATTTTCTACAAAAACATCGAAAACATGGGAAAATTGGTCACTAACTATTATCTACGTTTACTGAAAGTCGAAGTTATACGTACGAATACGCTCAAGATGCAATGACTTATGTCAGAAAATACGGTCGACCAGACTTATTTATAACATTCACATGTAAACCCTCTTGGTCAGAAATCAAAGAAGGATTACAATACGGATAGTTTTTCGACAAAAATGAATTAAATTTGTCGACGCTACAGTATAATATCAAGTGCAATGACATGGTTGTCTTTGCGTTGGCTCAAAAAAGCCAGTGCGATGAGAAAAAACCGGAAGAGACAATATACCAAGTAATAAATTGGTTGTTACACCAATGCCAAGGAAGTGATTTGGTGAATTTTGAGTTTCGCAATACACAATCGCGATCCAGCGGTCGTTCATCGATCTGTTCATTTGGAAAACGGACAACGCGTCTTATTACTAAAAAACTGCGCAAAAGTTACGACAGAATCACCGACGAGAACAACTTCGACAGCGATTTTTGAGCTATGCCGAGAAGCTGCATTTGATAAAACTTTTATTTACTCGGAAGTACCATCTTCTCACTACCCTTGTATCTCTCGTAAATTGGCCAGTGCAAGGACACGATAGAGTATTTTAGAGTAATACGATAGGGAGAGTCCACACCGTGCATCCAAAAAACACTGAATGCTTATACTGAATA